CACCTGATGACACCCTGACCTCCTGTGTCTTCATTTTCCTCTCTCCACTATCCCTTCATCTTCAGGTTTATCATCTACATTATTTAATTAATATTCATCAGAAGAGTTTGAATCTTTCTGCATTGTGGCTTTTCTACGTCACATCCTGCACAGAATTGCTCAGTCAATGCTTGGATGCAGTGCATGTTCAGTGAGGACTCATGCGTTTTGAGTGCATTTCTTACATTCATAAAGAACTCGAAAGGCAACACTCACACAAAACTGGCATGACTATGTTCTTAAATGAGGAAATGCCAGAATGTAGATATGGAAAGTGACCCCTGGTCACGTTGGAATCTTATTAAAGTCATAAAGAAAAAATGAGGGAAATGAGTCGACATGAAAAATGTAAGCACGGATACTGTAACCGAAACCAATGTGCCAGAGGGCAGTCAGCATGCGTCAGAATGCTTTGTGATCAGACATGGAAGCATCCAAAAGAATCAGTCCTTCAAAATCTTAAATTCAAAGGCTAAGCTCCTGCTTTTGCTGTGACCCAAGAATATTTGAGCTGAAACATTTCCAGCTCACCAGATGCAACACATTTGTTTCTATAGATAAGCAAATCAAGACACTGAGCTGTGAGGCGGCTTTGAGTGGGATTAGTCAGACATGCTCTTTAGAGCACTGTCACCCTCTTTTCTGCCATAGCACCCAGGAGGAGTGACCCACTTTCACACTTAGAAAACCTCTGTGGGTGTGTTCGGTTCCCACAGGCCTGGCTCTATCTAACTCCACTGGCTTTCTTTCCTACTAAAAACTTAGAGGATAATTTCTCTTTTATTTGCCAGAAGCACCAAAGAAAGGAGAGGAGAAATGCAGCAGACAGATTTGGCTTGCAGTGTTTACAGTGTAGAATGTTAAAATCAGTAAAGTTTATGCAGAATTCTGAATTTGCTTTGGAGCAACAGAGCCACATTCCTGTTGCAGCTCTACACTGGACCCCTTTCAGGCCAGGCACTGTCACCTCATCAGCTGGCCTCTCAGGCACAGAGGCACATTTTGCCTGGAATATGGAAATGTTAAATTTAGTGTGCTTTCAGATAAATTGTGTGCATAGAGGCTGTTTTCTGGGCCTAACCCCTCTAGGATGTAAATGTTTCCTTATACTGCATGTTGTCTGAGGGTCCTGGGCTTTATGCAACTACTCCTGTGAGCTTCTGGCAAAATAGGAATTAAAAGAATTCAAATTACTTTGGTTTGAAAGACTTGAGGTGGCTTTGCCCATTTCCTGTGAGGCAGGGGATTTGGGTTTTGTGATGTAGACACAAAACCAGCCACAGGCCTCTTCTCTTTCCCCCTTGCCCCTCAAGCATGATGGCATCTCTTCCGACCTAGCAAGAAATGCAGAAGTTGGGCTTCCCAGAAATCTCCTGAATCAGACTTGGCATTCTCAGACAGTATCTGGGCCATGCATTATCACTGAGGAGCAGCAGGGGCCAGCAACACAGTGTTCTCCAGCTCCCAGCAGGCCCAGGCAGCTCAGGCCTCCCACCCAGACCATGCTGCATTGTACATAATGCCCCCCTTAGAGCTCACATCTGTCCGATGCAGCAATCTGTTTTATGGTACTGTGTGGCACTATTGGGCTTCTTTATCTAGTCTTTTTACCTTTCAAATGGTCCAAATGGTTATTCCCTCGGATAGAATGTGACCAACATGGATTTGAGTAGAAATGTCTCTGCTTCAAGCTTGTGTGCCGCATCCTCAGCCATAAGCCAGGAATCTGGGGGTGGGTCAGGCTGTACAGGCTTTAGGGACATAGCTAGCATGTACAAGCCTGGGATTCAATTCCCACTACTACAGGGAAGAGAAACAAAATAGGGCTATATAATTACTTTTATTTATGGAGCATTTATAAGACTGAGATCAATTTTTCTTTCCCTTAAAAAACATGAACACCCACTCAGCCCAGCAGCTGGCATCACTGCTCTGATCAGTGTCCAGCCACACTAGAGACCATGTGGCAGTTGTCAGTGTATCATGTGCTATAGTGCTCCCTAAAGGAGTCTATAGGTTGGTTACTCTGTTCGTGACATTGAGATGTGGTTTCAAGGTACCTACTGGATCAACTACAGTTGTCTGGTCTTGTCACAGGACTATACCTTGGCTATGAAAACTGTGCTGTAAAACTCCAGACTTGTGTAGCTCTGTCCTGAAAATATTGTTTCCTGATAGAAAATAACAGAATAGCAACAGAGGATTATGTGATATAAACCCACATCACCATCATTACTTTTAGTTTGTTGGCTAAAACATGTAGAAAACTTTAAATATGTCTACTATTATCCCAGAATATCAAGCATTTCTACAACTTTTTTCTTGCTTGTAGTGTCCATTTTGAAATGGGACATAAGTCCCTATCTTTGTTCCTCAGAGCCACATAATTTTGAAGCAGGGACAGAGTGTAGAACTCTCATCCAGCCAACTTGTTCCCTGAGAAAGGTTACTGCCCTCTGGGCCATCTCTGGGTGCCTTGGAGGGGTGGCTTTGGTCATTAGTCAAAGATCTCAGGCCCACTCTTCACTCTGTTCCAACCTTCTGGCATTGCCCCCTGCATAGAGGCATTGTGGAAGCTGGGCATATGATCAGTGATGATGGTACTGTTGGGGTGATCCCTTTCTTGCTCATCATACAAGGCCATGGCTGACAAAAGAAAGACCTAAGTTTTTGGCCATAGTTTTGCATGACACTGGAGCCTTCAGATTAAAGAGACAAAGACCCAGGATCAATCATCATTTTTATGTTTAAGTTTGCCAATGTACACAGTGAGCTCATTAACAATGTGATAGAACTAAAAGGGTATGACCCAATGGTAACGGACTGCAGGAAGCCCAGCAAGGCCTCTGTGCTCACATTTTTCTTGGCCTTTCTGAGTTGCTTCCTTCCTCTTGGCTATGGGGCAGCACCCTTTCTGGAATGAGGTTTTATGACCTATAGCCAAGCCAAGTAAATCAGTCCGAGAATTCTCTCATGACCAACTCTTGCTCAGAAAGATAGAGGATTCAGGGGGCTTGAGATTTTATGGCTACTTTAAAGAAAACAGGTTCTGGGTTCTATCACCTACCTTTGGAGGAGAAATACTTGTCTCTATAGCTTACATTTGAGGAGTAAGGCAGAAGAGACAGTGGGGCAGAAGGCAGTCATAGAGTAAAGTACTTCTGGGGCTTACCTGGGGCTCCACCGTGACATCCTGCTCAGAGGCAGGGTCCGACTTGGGGGTTGCCTCCCTGCCCAGGCTTGCTGCTTGCTTCCCCTCAGTGGAAGAGTAAGATGGCACTTCGTCCCCAGGGTCTCCTGCCGAGTGAGATGGACCCAGCTACTGGATTAACCTACATAGAGACTCAAGGAATTGGAGCTTCCTCCAGCAATTTCATCCATGCTACATTTAAAGAAAGAATCTCATTTAATCTACATGGGAGGAGGCTTTTTTTAAAAAAACTGAATTGAGGTATCAAAATAGAACTGCACAATTAAAGGAAATCATTATGTTGTGATCACCTTGGGGTTTCTCAAAATATTGCATAGGAACACATTTTTATTAAAGCAAATCCCTTTGCAGATTACCAAAATTGTCTCCAATAACGTATGATGGACTTTATATAGAAATGAAGTGTTTCAGAAGATTATAGAGACAAATAGCAGCATTTTTCCTCCTTGTCTTCACTATCTTACTTGACAGCAAAAGATTTTATAGTAGTATCACCTTATATATTATGCAAATTAGTAACTTGACATATTAGTTGGATGTATTGCTTGCTTAATATTCTTAATTATAGAAAGAATGCTGGAAAGGTTATTCCCTGGCTGCTTTCGGATGTTAATGGTGGTGAGTAGGTTCTCCCAGCCACAAGAGGAAACAATAGTTGTTCATGTTAGATGCTTCAGTAGATTGCGTAGGTTTCTTTCTGCAATTGTATCAAGAGTATTTGAAAAGCCTTACCTTCTATTGGGCGCTTTGCTTTGATTTGGTTTGGGTTTGAATGATTTTGGTCAGGTTTTCAGATCATAAGTCCTATGAATGCTTAACTATTAAACAAATGTTCCATATTCTAATTAGCATATTGAGGCATGACTGACATTTAAGATTTTATTCTTAATACTCTAGTGTATTTATGAACACATGTGCCACAAAGAAACTTGATTCCTGTTTATCAAGTGTGAGAGATTATGGAGCATGTTATCATTAACTTAATCCACTCACATGGTTCCTCCACAAGTATTTCTGTAATAGGTGTTTTAAACACTGAAAAGTAAACTTCAATGAGATAAACTTCACATCCATTATTGGTTTCCAGGTGAGTGTTTTTAAACATACTGGTTACTGAAAGTAAGCAAATTGAAACAGGTTGTTTTCCTTACAGACTTTTTACATTTCCTACCAGTCCCATTTCTCACCACATTTTCAGTTTTTGAATCATTAAAGAAGTAGTTGTTTCAAGTTTCACTGACAGATTGGTAATACACAGTCACAAGTTTTGCTTCACTGCAAAAGGGACTTAGCGCAAGTCGCCCACGTTGCAGCCTGAAACAGATGGAGGTCTTAGGAAGCCCCTAGCATTTAATGAGCTGCGGAACAGGGCGGCTCGCCTGCACACTCGGTTCTCCATTCACGAGTATTTCCTGGGCTTTTTTTCTGAGCGATGCCAGCCGGGTGTGTTCAGGAGGCGGTTCTCACCAATAGGGAGGCGGCGGGAAGAGTTCGCGTGGGAAGCCTCAGCCCCTTTTCTTTCTTGCAAACGCCCACATCTGGCTGCTGCCCCCAGCCACGCAGGCTCTGTAAGAGGTGACGGTCGCCCTCATCTCAGTTAACCGGGAATTTCGGACTTCACTCGCGTGGGGGGGGGGTGCTCGGCGGGCGGGGTGACCACGGAGGTGGGAGCATTGCGTGGTTCTTCTGTTGCTAGTGCCGTGATGTCACCCGCCCCTCCTAACCCGCGGTTGGTTGTTTTGTGTTTCAGCTCTGCCTGCAGTTGAGCACAAAGACCTGGAGGAGACTCCCATAGCCGGGGAGAAGAAAGCAGGAGCCGAGAAGCCCATTAAAAGGAACTTGTGGCTTGTGGCCTTTTTTGCAGGGGCCGCCAGGGAGAAAAGTGCACCGAAGCCACCGTGGTGGTTAATGAGCCGGGAGATGAGGCGCATCCGCGGCTGACCCTGCCTCCAGCATCCTGTGCTGCCCTTTGTGCTTCGTGTACATGTGTCTTTCCAGGCCGGCCGGAGGCGCCCACAAGAGCATCCACCACGGCTGCCGGAGAAAGACCGCCCACCATGCCCACCGAGACGCTACAGACAGGTAGCATGGTGAAGCCGGTCAGCCCCGCGGGCACCTTCACGTCGGCGGTGCCCCTGCGCATCCTCAACAAGGGGCCCGACTACTTCCGCAGGCAGGCGGAGCCCAACCCCAAGAGACTGAGCGCGGTGGAGCGGCTGGAGGCCGACAAGGCCAAGTACGTCAAGAGCCAGGAGGTGATCAACGCCAAGCAGGAGCCCGTGAAGCCAGCCGTGCTGGCCAAGCCCCCGGTGTGCCCCGGCGCCAAGCGCGCGCTGGGCAGCCCCACGCTCAAGGTGTTCGGCAACCACGCCAAGACGGAGGGCGGCGTGCAGCGCGAGACGCTCAAGCTGGAGATCCTCAAGAACATCATCAACAGCTCCGAGGGCTCCAGCTCGGGCTCGGGCCACAAGCACGGGGCTCGAAACTGGCCCCCGCACAGGCCGGAGGCCGACCTGCACCGGCACTCCTTCGCGGAGTCCCTGAAGGTCTACCCCACGCCGGGCCGCGGCAGCCCGCAGGAGTGCAGCTCCCACGTGAGCCGGAGGCTGCTGGAGCAGTCGGCTGAGTCCTTCCTGCACGTCTCCCATAGCTCCTCCGACATCCGCAAGGTGACAAGCGCCAAGCCCCTCAAAGCCATCCCCTGTAGCAGCTCCGCCCCTCCCCTGCCTCCCAAGCCCAAGGTGGCCGCGGTGAAGTCGCCTGAGGCCGACCCGGTGGAACCGGCCTGCGGCGTCAGCAGAAGACCCTCCCTCCAGCGGTCCAAGTCAGACTTGAGTGACAGGTATTTCCGAGTGGACGCGGACGTGGAAAGGTTCTTCAACTACTGCGGACTGGACCCAGAAGAGCTGGAAAACCTCGGCATGGAGAATTTCGCAAGGGCTAATTCTGACATCATATCACTCAACTTCCGCAGTGCAAGCATGATCAGCTCAGACTGTGAACAGTCTCAGGACAGTAACAGTGACCTTAGAAATGATGACAGTGCCAATGACCGGGTCCCATACGGCATTTCTGCCATCGAAAGAAATGCTAGGATCATCAAGTGGTTATATAGCATCAAACAAGCTAGAGAGTCACAGAAGGTGTCCCACGTGTAAGAGCCACAGCAGTGGAAAGGAGGGAGGGGCGGGTCTGTGCATACGGTTGTGAAGGTTGTAAGGTCTCCTCGAAGTGTTGTGAGCTTCTCCACCCTTTGTGTTGCTTGTTGTGCAATGTTTTCGAGTTGCATGCCTGTCAACATGGCGACTGGCCTGGCTTCCCTCGTCACATCGCTGCAGAGCCTGGCTGAACACTCTCCTGCCAAGTTTCCCGCCAGAATCTAATTAGGGCTTTGCTCTTAAGCAAAACTGTTTACAGGAAAAACGGTATATGATTTCTTCAATATTTATGTGGTTCTTGTGTTTTTATACCCTCCCTATTGTGTCTTAATTAAAAATTTTATCAACTGGCTTTCAAGTTGAGAGCAGAATCTTTTTGAAATAAAAAGCCACTTTTGCCTACATGAGAAACCATAACACTGGGAAAATATATGGGACTTGCTACCAAACAGAGTGACTGATGGAACACAGAACTGGGCTGGGGTTTCTGTGGAATCAAGTGGTAAGCCTGAAGCCGGTGGTTCACATGTTGACAGTCTCTTGCCACTTAGTGGAGCATTGTGGAGCAACGGTGCTGTCTTGTGTCCAATTCCGTGTATGTGTTGGTGGTTCTTTGTAATACTGACCCCCAGGAATGACAATCATACAACCAAGGATGATTAAATCTAGGACGTTGGATATTTGGGGGGACTGTTGATGTTGTTCAGATTGGGGTAATTCAGAAATGTCTCCTATTAACCTTTTGAAAGGAATCCCCACCCAAAAGCTGATTAAAGCTGATACTGAATGCTTTTTTTAAAGTTACTTTGTGGGATTTTGTTTTTGTTGAGTGGGAAGGATGGTTCCTTTGTTTCTGTGGTGTTTGCCTAAGAACTCCTAACTCATGCTGTTTCTCTTCCTTGTTCCCATTTGTAGTTGTTCCCTTTGGGACAGGTGAGTAGGGCTTGTGCAAGTCTGAGTTGAGATAGGAATGAAAGTGAGAATGTCATCCACATCAGTCTGGTCTCCCATTCAAAAGCGAATCCATTGGAAGCAGAATCATCTCCAAGCACTGTGGTTCTTTTGTTTTGCATATGGTACTACCAAGCTATGCTATTTGTTACAGCTCTAGGAAACTGTGGAAACACTGTAGCTTTCCCACCCTGTGGTCTCCTATCACCTCTTCCCCAGTAACCTGCCCTCAGGTGATTCCATAGCTGTGAGCCAGCTGGCAGAGAGGTGTGGAAGTGAAGCAGAGGGCACTGGGCGGTGGTCTGCCTCACTGCTCTTGTGCTCTGAAGTCTCAGTAGAAACACCTTAGACTTCATCATCTAATAGGAACCTTTTAATGGTGTAAATTCTGTAAGACTTTGTACATACTTCAGTTCTAGAATCTTTAAGGAAAAAAAAAAAAGTTATGCTAATATATAGCTCTGGTATAGGCTCTAAAGGCAGTGGTTTCTCTTTGTCCTTTCCTTTTTCCATTCATGAAAAGTTAACTTTGAGCTATGGACCAGAAGCACATTCTTGATAGCCTTCAAGAAACATTTTTTCATTAAATTGCTTTCACCCTATAAACTATTTGAACAGTGCTCTTCCTAATTGTAGCTGTAGCACTGTGCTTTTCCTAAAATAGTTACTTCAAGGTTCCTAAAATATGCTGCTGCCTCTTCACTTAGTTCACACCTCATATTTTTGCCTTTCCTTAAACATCAGGATTTTTCCCATCTTCCAGAACACTCTCCAGTTGAAATATTTGCATTCTTACTGCAGAGACATACCTATAAAATGGCTAGAGGGTATTTTCATTTGTTCAAGCCCAACGTCACTTTGTGTGGCCATATGTTTGCCCACTTGCTTATACATTCATGTCTCAAGGTGGCAGGCACTGGACCACCATGGTGAACAGACTGGGCCTTAGACTTTCACAGTGGAGAGGTTCCACTCCTTAGGGGCCATGTCCTTTCTCCTGTTACTTGAACATTGACTATTCAATGAGTATTTATTGAATCAAGTCATTTGAAGAACATTTCTTCTAAGGTTCTACCTAACCTGTAAATATAAGGAAGCATTATTAAAAATGTAATTTTTAGAAACAAATGAAAATGATTACCAAACTGATATTGATAAACATTTTTCTTCTGGGGAAAAGCAAGTTTGGTTCTTTGACTCTTTCTGCGGGGTTTGAATTCATCACTGCTTCTCACACTGATGTTCAGTTAAACTAAAACCCTGCTTTCCAGAAGAAGCACTTTGGAATGCAGCTATGAATAACAGGTTTTCTAAGCAAACAAAAAAGTTTTGTTCCCTTATCATTAGTATAGAAATGTGGCCTTTTAAAACAGGTGGTTTGGCATTTACATATTAATTTGAGGAACTATTAAAATGCTAGAAATACATGTTATTTTCCCAAGGAAACCATTTTGGGGGAGATGAGCATTTTCTACCCAATTTAATTTATTTTTATTATGTGTATGGGTATTTTGCCTATATGTGTGTAAGTATACCATGTGCATGCAGTGCCCACGGAGGGCAGCCATCAGATCCCTGGAATTAATGTTAAGGACAGTGGTCAGCCACCATGTGGGTGTTAGGAACTGAACCCAGGTCCTCTAGAAGAGTAGTAATTGCTCTTAACCACTGAGTCATCTCTCCAGCCCCTTCTTAGCCCATTTAATACCACTGTTTATGATAGTTTAGTCATAGACTGCTTGACTCCTCTAGTATTTCAGAATTGTGTGATCCATATTCAGGCAGGACTACCCATCATGTTATTGTAATTGAATCTAATCCTCTGGCCTTGTTTGTACACTGGACAAATGTGAGGCTTTCTGTTCCTATGAAAGGTGAGACCTCATTTTCTGTAGCTCATAAAGTTTCTATACAGGACTGTTTGAGATGCTTAGTGTTAAATTCCAAGAGACACACTTCCTAATTGTGAAGTCCTCTACAGAGCACTCATTCCTCTAGCTCATGGAAGTTTTATGTGTGCAGGCATTTTATTTGTAAGGCACTTGTGTCAGTATGAACACAAGCTGTATAATTCATATTTGTTCCCTTGTACAGAATAGAGTGAAAAATGATTGCATTAGGTGGTCCTGGAAACTAGCTGTTTCTTTCTGAAAACCAACCAAATCGTTAAAACCATTTCTTCCACATCTATCTACTGTGCCATATCTTCATTTAGGCTTTCGCCATTGCTTACGTGAAGTGTTGTTCCTGAAACTTTAAAATGGACATCTTCCCCCAACCAATGCCGCTCATCCCACCTCAGGCACAGAATCAGTCAATACTGAGCATGTCACACCTCTGTATAAGAAATATCCTGTTGGGCTAGGAGAGATGGCTCAGCAGTCAAAAATGTGTGGCAGGATGCAGTGATATATGCTTCTAAACCCAGCTCTTGGTAGGCAAAGGCAGCTGGTTCTCTGTGACATTGTGGCCAGCCTGATCTACATAGCGAATTCCAGGCCAGCTAGGGCTACTGAAGTACCCTATTTCAAAAAAGAAAATAGTGCTTACTGCTCTTGCAGAGAATTCACATGGTAGTCATAACCATCTGTAACTAACTGCAGTTCCAAAGGATCAGTGCCCTCTTCTGGTCTCCTCAGATACTAGGCATGCATATGGTATACATAGGTCAATGCAGGTAAGACACTCATACACATAAAAAATCTTTTTTTTTTAAAGAAAATTCATTTTGATATGTAAATGTTTAAACTGAATGGGTTGTTGAGAGGATAAATCCTAACTTCTTAACAGCATGTTGGGCATCTATTTCTAGGTCCTGGGACACATCTAGGCCTCCAAGATCCTACCAAAGAGAAGTTGCCATTAGGAACATTTTCCACTGCATTTATGATCTAAGGTATAACAAACCACCCCAGAACTCAGCAACTTAAAACAATAAAAACTGATTTTGTCCATGTCTGCACATCAGGAATCCTCAATTGACTTAGCCAGCGATTGGTGACCGGGTGTCTTATCTCATGTTGCTGTCAAGATGGCAGCTGAGGCTGGAGCATCACAATTCATGGGCTGGAGGTCTCCCTCAACATGGCCCATGCTATTGGCAAGTATGCTTAATTCCTTGCAGCCTCTCCCTAGAATGTGCCTGAGAGTTCATTCAGTGGAGCATCTGTCTTCCCTAGTGAATGACTGAAGAGTGAGTCAAAGAGGAAGTTGTATCCTGAGTCCCCACATTTCTGCAGCACTCAGTACATTAGAAGTTGTGGATCCCTAAATGCAGCCCACACAGGAGGAGAGTGAGGCCTGTTTTTTATGGATGAGGGTTTCTATTGGGGGTTGGTTTTTTTTTGTTTCATTATGTTGTTTTGGGTGGTGCTAGGGATTGAGTACATGCCTTTCACATGCTAAGCAAATGCTCTACCCCTGAACTATATGCCCTCTAAGGCCCCATGTTTTAAACGAGGAATATCAAACTCATGGCCACAATTCAACACTTGCTACTGAAGTTCATTAGTTCATCATTCTCTGAGGAATGCTCCCTGTCCCCTTGGTCTCAAAGATACTTGTTCCTTCAAGACTACACAACATTCAGTGACTTTTTCCTATGCAACCTTACCTTGTCAGCTTGTGATCTTGGTCATGACCACAGACCCAACCTTTGCCAGCCTAAATGTAGGTTTATGTGAATTTTTTAAAGGTAAACCTTCCTAAAAATAATTTATTCCCTATGCAAGGGGGAAAACAGTTCTAATAAACACACAGCTCTTCAATGACTGATGTAAATGGCAACCCTAGGTTTCACAATGTGTAATACAGCAGCACAAAGTGTATAATAAATGCTTAATAAGTGTTTGTTAGTAGTGGTGTTCTTTGGGGGGGGCGGTGGATTTAGTTTGAGGATCCCTTATCAAAACTACTCAGAACCAGAGTGTTGGGAATTCTGGAGCTTTTTAGGTTTGGGAATATTTCCATAGACTTTACTAGTTGAGGATCCATAATACAAAAACCTGAAATATGAACTGTTCCATAGTAGGAAACTTACATCAAGTTGGTCTCAAATTTCACAGCATTTCTGGTTTTGAATTAGAAATGCTCAGCTAGCAAGTCCCACACTAAACCATAAGCCCTACCCCAGTGAGCTCCAAATGGTGGTTACGCCCTCCAATTTGTAGGTGAAGAACCTTAGCCCCATGGAGATTAAGCTCCATAGCCAAGATCAAACAAGAAGCAAATGCTCCAATAGACTTGAGCTCAGCACCGCAGTTCCAGTTCCACTTGCCCTATAGCCCTGTTCAGAACCAGGGAAGATGGGGCAAAAGAGACGACTCAGTAATTAAGACTCTTCCTGCTCTTAGAGAAGAGCCAGGTTTGGTTCCCAACACCTACACGGCAGCTAACAACTGTCAGTAGCTCAAGTTCCAGGGGATCCTATGCCTTCTTTGGCCTCCATGGGTATTGCATGACACAGGTGCACTTACGTACATGCAGGAAAAACATTCATACACATAAAAAATACAAAGGAAAAAACCAGATCAAGAGTTTTGTGCGTAAGAACAGAAGAGCCCTTGGACTCATCTTGATAATTTAATCTACTGCCAGGGTGTGTAAATATTTCTCAAATTGTCAAATTTCAGTAATTCCATTCTTATCTAAATGAGTACCCACAAATCAGA